AAATACCTAGTCGAAGTAACATTAATTAATTTTGTGGTTTTCGGATTAAGTATGAGATTATTAACAAGAGGAATTCCTAGGGAATGGTCTATCTGGTGACAAATAAACAGATGCATATGTTTCAGATGGGTCTGCTTCGATGTGGCCACCCAGGAAGCGTACGAGCGTTCAGATAATTAAACCACTGTTGGAACCAGTAGCATAAACAATTCACCAGTAGATAATTTTGCCAGTGTCTGTCTCAGAAGCCGACTACAGAAGCCATTCGGCCGGAATGGATCAATAACCGCGTCGTCTGATCTCGCCCCTCCCACAACGCTTAGTCAATAAACATTGTCAGTTGGGAAAAAAACTGGTATGTTTTATAAATACGCACCCCAAGGGTATCTCTGAGAAGCGGTTGGTGTAGCTGGCACCGACTACTCAAACCTGACCCAAGGCTCGGTGTCTGCCCATCTGTGATGGAAGGTGAGCATTGGGCACCAGGTTAGGTAGCGCTCTCATACGTAAACCAAAAACGGGGGCCTGTGCAAAATGATCAACTGTCCGAAACGACATATAAATTAGCAACTTGCGTGGAGCCCTTGATTACGTAAATATTTCTGTGGATCGGGATCACATTATTGCCCGCCTAAATTACCTAATTCTCAGGAAGGGAACCGTCTGCAAAAACAATATCAGATGCTGATAATACCGTTAATTATGAGCGGCTAATGGCTTTGCAAATCAAAATTGGATATTCGACCGTTCAAGAGATAAAGCCAGTTCACGAAATTACAGCAGCTTTTGTTGGAGGCGGTGCTGGTTCATCTTACTCATGAATCGTATGAAGTCGGGCGCTCGTTACCTTAGGACAAAATCCGTTTTGACCGAGGCTTTATACCATAAGAAGTGAAATAGTGAGCGTAGGTTCTGTGAACATGGACCCGGACATTAGTCCATGGCGTCTGTAGTCGGGCCGATAAAAGAATGACGAGCAGTTGACATAGGGGAGACCAAAATAACTCTGCAAAAGGTCAAGACGTCAGTGAAATAAGAAATGTATAAATGCACTCGAATTTTAAATATGGGGTACGTAATGTTCTGGTTATCATAAACACAACACAATTTGGCAACAGTTACTTCCTGGGGGTTTTCCGTTTGGCCTGTGGCTTGCAGTACTTCTCCGTTAATTTGTCAAGCAAATTTTCCGATTCAGCAAGACGTCTCTTCTGGTTTGCTTGTAAAGCTAAGACTAGAGAATCTGTCGAAGCACCTTCCTTTCGTGTTTTTTTCTTTTCCTCTGAACAATCATTTGCCTCCTTAAGGGCACGCTTTAGGCGGTTTGCCCTTTTCTTGGGTGGCTCATTGACAAAGGCATCTAACGGTTCCAGCACTTTTTCGGCCAGGAGATCTTCGATCAATTTTCGAATTCTATCTTCATCATCAGCCTCAGCCAGGATCATTGAGTCCATTATGGCATCCATGTCACCTTGGTGCTTATTATAAAGCTCAATAAGATCATCACGTTCCTCTTTACTTCCGTGATATTTTTTAGCATAATCAACAATAGCTTCTGGAGTAACTTTCGGAAATATGAGGGTCCAATAATCTACCCAGTCGTCAAAGGACTTTTCCGAGAAGGACTCGCCGACAATGCCTACAAAGACATTAACAGACCTTTACTTACCTGTCTCGTCATAGACGGCCCGGGACTCCTTATCACTAAGGATGCGGAATGCCGCTGAAAGTACTTGAAACCGTTCTGTAGCCTCCGATTTCTTCTGATGACTGTGACGGTCGGGGTGATATTTTAGAGATTTCTTGTAGAATGATTTTTTCACTACATTTGTTAGCACAAAAGAAATAATCTCACGTTCTGCAGGAGAACACGATCGCTCACAATCGAACAGAGTGTACAGACAGTCGGTAGCGAATAAGCGGCGGCAGTCATCGAGAAGCCCAGACATTGTCCTTTGTGGTGTGTGGCTCTACAACGACCTAGGTAACGGGTTCGGAGATGGCGGGACATAAAATTAGCAACTCGAATGTAGACTGTAGGCAAGAGTTTCAGCAAGAACGTGGGAAGAAAGAAAGAAATAAACGAAATAATAAAGCTCAGTGACGGGGTGAGGCGCAGTCGGCCACAATCCAGTGGTACGAAGTTGGGCTGTCGGGTGGTATTCATGGCAGTGTCTCAGAGAGGACTAAATACTATCCTCGGAACTGTGTGAAAACAAGGGCATACAGTGGACAGAGTATTCGGGTGGACAATGACTCTACAGGCGAACGCAAATATGACGAGTTTAAGTCGATTGAAATTAAGTTAAATTACGGGGCGTAGGATTTAGTCTCAAATCGAATACGACAGACGAAGTCTGAGGGATCCATGGACGATGCAAGTAGTAGATTGTTGTCGGTGGACATCGGTTTCCGCACTGACTGTGGGGTGGTCACTAGCAGGCACGTAGTGTTACATAGCAATGTGCGCCACACGCCCAATCCAAAGTTCTGACATTACAAATCTATGATCAAACATCTGAAACCGAACAAATTGATCTTTCTGGCTGATTGTTTTCCCCGACAGTTTAGAACTATAGCCGTGAATGCTCCTG